CCCCCCCCCCCCCCCCCCCCCAAAATAAAAAAAGTTTCAAATAATCATAATCCTGGATCTGGCCCTGCAACTTATTTGATATTTCATATGCAGTGTCAATATTTGTAGGTTAGCTGTGCACCCTGTTGCAAAGGCTGTTGGCTGTACTGGTAAGTTTTATGTTGCAACTTCCATGTATGTACCTGTACCTTGCATAACTTTAATTTCTATGTTTTGTTCGCGTCTGTAATATTGCCATGGACATTATGCCTATGTAGCTGGTATCTACCAATTTTTGAAAGTTAATGATTAAACATGATTACATAAAGTTTAAGAAAAATTAAAATTAACTTTAAATTTAACATGAAGTTAGTAACCGTTTGTCTTATCTTGGTATAAGATTTATATCGGTGGGTATTTTTTTACCAATTCCTGTCGGCGGACATGGAGTGCAAACCCAATAATTACCGCTGATTTTCGGAAACGTTCCTTGATGTTTTTCATTAGTGGCAGGTGTGCGGAAACGTTCAGTCTACCAGATACAATTTGAAAGTAAGTAACAGCATTTTAGGAAATGTTTTGAAAGGGGCAAATACAAAATAGAGCTCTGAACCCCTTCAAAACGTACATAAGTGTACAATGAACGTGTACCAGTATGTACTTCACGCATTATTGTCAGTCTTCAGCAGGTGTAACATCATAACTAGGCTTTTCAACAGTGTGTGACTTAATTTGAGAAGGTGATAGGTTAGAAAAATATTTGAGAGCCCCAACATGAAGGTGGACGTACTAGCTCACTGTCATTTTACAGTTACTTACAACAGTATCTGAATATTCTAAATAGAGAGATGTGAATCAACTGTTCTGACATTCTATTTTGCATATTAATTTTAGGTGTGGGTAGTACGTCTGAGTACATTACAATAACTTTGGATAATGAAGGCATCGATTGAGGTCATGCAAACATAAAATTGATATGCAGTTGCCAAAGGTCAAATTCCCATGAATATGTGTGTGGAGATTGACACTTCTATGTAAACACCAACTCTATTATGGCTTCATGATCACTGGAAAAACAAAACACAACATGCTTTTTCATATTTACAATATTCTGTTGTCTTTATCTTGACTTTCAGAATCCACTGTTAACTCCACCAGTATGGGAATTGACATGAGCAGACCACTTTCTTCAAACCAAGAGATATGCCAAGAGGGTCACCTGCTGATCCATATGAAGATGGATGTTATAACAAGAGATGATGGACAACAAAATTTGACTCTAAGGTGTTCTTTATGTGACAGTGTGTTAAGGATGAGTGAAGTCAGTAGATCTCCACTCCTGAATTGTCCAGTAGTAACTGCTGCAGGTCAAAGTATCCAGAAAACAAATCAAGCAGACACAAACACTTCTGAAAGAGAGTCCAGCTTTGCTGACTTTTCACAGGATTTTGTTAAAACAGATCCAGATTCAGTCTGTGATGACTGTGAAGATGATCTTGATTTAGATATGCATGTTGAAAGTTATGAAAGTTTTCAGCTCAGTAATGAGAATTGTAACAATATTGACCATTGTGCAAATGAGGAGGATGTGTTGAACTCGAAGACAATTGACAAAACCATTTCACCACTGTGCACTGATGCAATCCCAAACAGCACAGAGAAATCAAATGAAAAGGAAATCACCTCAACAGTAGATAGAGGTACAAGAAGACGAGACAGTCAGCCAAGAAATATGGAATCATTTTTAAAACGTAAAATACAGAAGAGCCCCATTTCAGTTGAGCAGATACCCAAGAAAACCCCAAAGCTACAAGCCAACAGGGGGACAATTAGTGTGTCACTGGAAAGTTCTAACCAGCTATCTGATAACAAATCAAATAAGAATTCCTCATCATCTGGTCAGCTTGCTGTTTCTGCACAAATTAGCTCCAGTGAACGTAGGTTTAAAATTCCATCATGCAAGTTTTGCTTTGCTACCCACAGTGACTTTGGAGAAAATTTATTGTGTATCCACAAATGTCCTAAAACGGGCACTACAATTTTCATATGTTCAGTCTGTAATGAGTACTACAGCAGCTGTACCTTATTGGTTGAATGTGAAAGAAAACACAGACAGGTAAATGCAACTTTCATCAAGGAAGAATTCAAGTGTATGGTTTGTGATAAGACATTTGTTACTTTCAGAGAAGCAAAAAGGCATGAAACTTGTCACATTCAAACTGATACTGGAGTGGCTGCTGGGGCATCCTTACTACATGAAGCAAACTCCATTTCTGGCCCTGGGAGACCTGAACCTGACTACCAGAACAGTCATATATCTAATACTATCACATCATCCACGCCATTGATACACCACTCTCAAGTGCCACTCATGCACCAGAACAGTCATATATCTCATGCTGTCACATCATCTACAATACACCACTCTCAAGTGCCACAGGCTTTTCAGTTTTCCCGACTGTGTATTACACAAAATGAATTAGAGGAACTTAAGAGCAAGGCACATGATTCTAAAAGTTTTTGTATAAAATTAATGTGCAAAATTTTTAGTAGTGATGAGCGGTTGCAAAATGATAGGAATGTTTTAGGAATTTCGACAGGTGGTCTCAAAAAGAAAAGTCTCTGCCCCATTCGTATACAATTCATCAAGGACTGTGTTTGGAATATGTATCCTACAGATTTTCAGAATAATCCATCCAAGATGTGGAGGGCATGTGTAGCAGCCATGAATTCGTGCAATAGAGGTTTCAGATGCATAAGGAGGAAGCAGAGTAGGATACAAAAGTGAAACAGTGATGTCATTGAGTGAAAGAACATGCATGTCTTTTTTTTTGTGTGTGTTCTGCATTTTTTTTTTTTAGTATTTGACCTTCTGTGTAAACTGATTTCATTCATGCCATCAGTTTGCTTTTCTGGCAGTGCTCTAGATTCTGTGTTCCATTTGTAATGTTATGTGGTAGTGTTGTTCCAACAAAATACATTGGAATGAATTATGTAATTCAAGTTGATGATGGAACATTAGCCTTTTTTGGTGGTGGTGGTAGTGGTGGTGTTGGGGGAGGGGTGAAAGTTGTTATTTTTAGATAGATCTCTAGCTGGCACCTGCACAACTATGAGCACTGTTTTTGTTATAAGGTCTATTTAATCATGACGTTATCAAACAGACAATATATTTAAGCACTCCAAGTTGGTGTTAGTGCCTTAATTTGACAATCTTTTTGCAGTAATAAACGTGTACTACTTCAGCCAAAACTGTATATTACTAAGACTTCAACTTTGCATTAAAATCGTGTCGTCAGAAAGCAGGGTATAATTCAAAAGCAGAAAACAATCTGATCTGTACTTTTGAGTCAGTGCTCCTAAAACCATGAACGATGTACTTAATTTGAAGTTTAGGGAGTAAAATATCTTGAGGAATATAACTGTTGGAGTAAAAATGGATACTGAATTTTCTAGCTACTAAATATTATTACTGATCACCTTTTAGTGACATATTAGTAAACTTTTGAAGAAAAGATAATTCAAAGCAATGACACATTGTCATGAGAAAATTTGTCACAATTTCCTTGGCCTGCGACCCCATTCTTCATGTATTTTGTTCAACTTGAGTATGTATATTTCACTATTTTCTTCCTATCATATAAAAAAAAATTCATTATTTAAATGGTTACACCCCACACACGCACACTCACTCACTTAAAATTTTCAACCATTACACCTGGACTTACCTTCTGGGTCATCACAGTGGGGGGTGTGTGTGTGGTGGGGGGGGGGGGGGGTCAGGGGGATCCTGCCACCCCCACCCCCGCCCTTTGGTTTCTGAAAAACAAATCACACTAATATTCGGCCCTCTTGACATTAGGATTCTGACTAGCTGATTCTTTGTTCTAAACCGTAGCAAATGGCACCGTTTGTCCTCCAACAGACGAAAATTTTTCAGGGGCCCTTTATTCAGTGGGCTCCAAACCCCATCCCAAGGGGCCTGAGGGTCAGCTTCGTATTAGAGGCCTGTCATCCTCCCCCCCCCCCCTCCCCATTAAAAAAAGTTTCAAATAATCCTGCATCCGGCCCTGCAACTTATTTGATATTTCATGTGCAGTGTCAATATTTGTAAGCTATCTGTGCATCCTGTTGCAAAGGCTGTTAGCTCTACTGGTAAGTTTTTAAGTTGCAACTTCCATGTACCTGTAAATCATCTTAAGTTTGAACACCTTGTATAACTTTAATTTCTATGTTTTGTTTGCATATGTAATATTTCCATGGACATGATGCCTATGTAGCTGGTAACTACCATTTCTTGAAAACTGATGATTAAACACGATTACATAAAGTTTAAGAAAAATTAAATTAAAATTAACTTTAAATTAAACATGAAGTTAGTAACCATTTGTCTTATCTTGGTATAAGATTTGTATCAGTGGGTATTTTTTTTTATCAATTCATGTCGGCGGACATGGAGTGCAAACCAAATAATTACCGCTGCTGTTCGAAAATGTTCCTTGAAGTATTTCATTAGTGACAGGCGTGCGGAAACGATCAGTCTACCAGATACAATTTGAAAGTAAGTATCAGCATTTTAGCAAATGTTTTACAAAATAGATCTCTGAACCCCTCCAAAACGTACATGAAGTGTACAATGAACGTGTACTTGTATGTACATGTACTTCACGCATTATTGCCAGTCTTCAGCAGGTGTATATTTTGGTAGCTTATCTGTCCTCTACAACATAAATAGTTGACGAACAGATAAAATTTACCTTATTCATAATGCTGTCAACATCATAACTATTAGGCTTTCAACAGTGTGTAACCTAATTTTAGAAGCTGAGAAGTTAGAAAAATATTTGAGAACACCAGCAGGAAAGTGGACGTACTACATGTACCTGTAGCTCACTGTCATTTTACAGTTACTTAAAACATTATCTGAATATTCTAAACAGAGAGATATGAATCAACTGTTCTGACAGTCATCTTTGCATATTAGTTTTAGATGTGGATAGTACGTCTGAGTACATTACAGTACAGTAACTTTGGATAATGAAGGCATTGATTGAAGTCATGCAAGCATAAAATTGATATGCAATTGTCACAGGTCAAATCTCCATGAATATATGTGTGGAGAGCTGGAGACTGACACTTCTATGTAAACACCAAGTCGATTATGGCTTCATGATCACTGGAATAACAAAACACAACATGCCTTTTCATATTTACAATATTCTGTTGTCTTTATCCGTCAGAATCCACTGTTAACTCTACCAGTATGGGAATTGATGTGAGCAGACCAGCTTCTTCAAGCCAACAGATATGCCAAGAGGGACACCTGCTGATCCATATGAAGATGGATGTTATAACAAAAGAGGATGGACAACAGACTTTGACTTTAAGGTGTTCTGTATGTGACAGTGTGTTAAGGATGAGTGAAGTCAGTAGATCTCCACTCCTGAATTGTCCAGTAGTAATTGCTGCAGGTCAAACTTTGGTAGATAGCCAGAAAACAAATCAAACAGACACAAGAGAGTCCAGCTTTGCTGACTTTTCACAGGATTTTGTTAAGACAGATACAGATTCATTCAGTAGACACTGTGAAGATGATCTTGATTTAGATATGCATGTTGAGTGCTATGAAAGTTTTCAGTCCAGTAATGAGAACTGTACCAATCTTGTTAAATATGACCATTTTGCAAGTGAGGAAGAAATGTTGTATTCAAAGACAATTGACAAAGGCATTACTCATCAGTGCACTGATGCAATGCCAAATAGCACAGAGAAAACAAATGAAAAAGAAATCACCTCAACAGTCGATAGACAAGGCAGTCATTCAAGAAATATGGAATCCTTTTTAAAACGTAAAATATCAAAGAGCCCCAATTCAGTTGAGCAGAAACCCAAGAAAACCCCAAAGCTACAAGCCAACAGGGAAACAATTAGTATGTCACTGGAAAGTTTTAACCAGCAATTTGACAATGATTCAAATAAGAATTGCACATCTTCTGGTCAGCTTACTGTTTCTGCACAAATTAGCTCCAGTAAAGAAAGATTTAAAATTCCATCATGCAAGTTTTGCTTTGCTACACACAGTGAATTTGGACAAAGTTTAGTGTGTGGCCACGAATGTTCTAAAACGGGTACTACAATTTTCATATGTTCAGTCTGTAATGAGTACTACAGCAGCTGTAGTGTAGTGATTGAATGTGAAAGAAAACACAGACAGATAAATGCAACTTCCAGCAAAGAAGAATTCAAGTGTATAGTTTGTGATAAGACATTTGCTGATTTTGGAGAGACAAAGCGGCATGAAACTTGTCACATTCAAACTGATACTGGAGTGGCTGCTGGGGCATCCTTACTACATGGAGCAAACTCCATTTCTGGCCCTGGGAGACCTGAAGCTGAAGACCAGAACAGTCATATATCTAATGCTATCTCATCCTCCACACCATTGATACACAACTCTCAAATGCCACTCATGCCACATGCTGTGCAATTTTCCCCATTAGGTATCACTCGACATGAATTAGAGCAAATTAAATACAAGTCACCCGATGCTAAAGGCTTTTGTGTAAAAATAATGTGTAAAATATTTAGTAGAGCTGAGCGGTTGCAAGATGATAAAAATGTTTTAGGAATGGAAAATATTGCAGTTAAAAGAACAGCTTTCTGCCCCATTCGTATACAATTCATTAAGGACTGTGTTCAAAATATGTATCCCACAGATTTTCAGAATAATCCACAAAAGATGTGGAGTAGGTGTGTAACAGCTATGAATAAGGCCAATAGAAATCTCAGAAGTTGGAACAAGAAGCAGCCTAAAATACAAAAGTTAAGTAGTGATAGTGCTGAGTGAAGGAACATGCATGTGTTTTAAGTGTATAATTATGCAGTGTTTTTAGTGTAACTACATGTATATGATTTCCTTAAAATAGACAACAGTAGTTCTACACTCTTGTTTATAAGATTTTATTTTGTATCTAAGTGGCTTCTTAAACTCTGATTTTATCTTATACTCTGTGTCATTTATAGCCAAATGAAGGTCACCAAATGCTGAAGACAAAGCATTGTCTCATTATCGTATAAAATGTCATTATCTTAGGCATTGCTTTCAAAAGAAAAATGCATTTTGTGTTTGCAATTTATCAGAATCTGTAAATGAAGACGGTTGTTATAAATGTAGATCGAAATTCATAACTGAAGATGACTATTGGAATACTGTTCTACATTTAAGCTAATATCTGGTTGTTTGTGCAATCTTAGCAGGCTATCTATGTCTCTCAGTGGAATTTTTTAAATTAAAAAAAAATTTTAAATTATACTCTATATTTCCAGGTTATAAAATGTGTTTTCCATAAAAGTTGAAACTGGCACTTAATGTGAAATAAAAAAGATCATACACTGAACTTTGTTACTTGCATTTGTGAGTTACTGAAATGGAATTCATGCAGAGTATAGTGAGCAATATTTTCTATCAAAATAAATTTATTAACCAGCACAAAAAATGTTCATATCGAGCTGTTTCAGATGAGATACACAATAATAACAATAATCTTTACTAGCTCTTACACTTTTATCTACAAAAGTTATGACCAAACAGTTACGAAAGTGGAATTACTAATGATTTAAGTAAATAAAATAGAGATGGTGAATTTTCCTCTTCTTTAACAACATATGAAGATAGATTCACATTTTTACCAGCCATAAGTTTGCATTTAAAATACACCTTATAAATGCAAAATCCACAGAGGTGAATTTTCCTATCACAGTAATCCTTAAAATAGAATATACAATATTGCACGTTTCTGGACCACACAGCGTATTAAAATGCAGCAAGCAGATATCTATGCATAGCTGTATTGAGGATCAATAAAAGTCAGAGGCTAAAGCTGATTGCAATTTTTAGTTATCAGTTTCATCTGTAAGACCGCATTCAGATTCACACATTGTACTAGCTGGGTTGGTAAAACTCCACAAAGGATTCTTGCCACATTGCGATTAGCTTATTCATCACACAATAGTAAATTACACCATGGCTGCTCGAGGTTTGTCAGACAATTAGGCTGATTCCACTGATTGAACTTAGAAGGAAATACTCGGCAAAGTTGGATTGACCCAGCTAGCATGATGTGCGAATCTAAATACAGCTTAAGAGTCTTAGAATGCATTTAGATTCGCACATCATGCTAATCTAAATGCATTTAGATTAGCATGATGTGCGAATCTAAATGCATTCTAAGACTCTTAAGCTGTAGGTTTTAGAAATTGGTCTCACACTGCACAACAGGAGCCCACATCTTGTGCTGGAGCTCCTATCATTATACACCTGTCTGGTTGCTCTCCAGAATGCAATGCCAGCCATGTCCAGATTTCTAAGGTTATTTGTGCCATATCCACATACTAACAGAGGAGGAAACATCAACTGGTCTTGAAAAGTCTAAGCTTACCATCTAATGTTGATGTGAGCAGCTAAAAGAGGAAAATAATTTAAATTTAATTTATACTTTTATACCATCATCTCTTTTGTAGATTTAATACCAATTTTCAACTTGAAAAAGTCCACTTGTACCTATTTACATGTATAAAAGCATATTTAAGTTTCAGACCCCAAATGGACGCAAATTTATCATAGAAGATAAGAGATACATGCAGCATACTGATACAGGGTACAGTCACCATTAGAATTTTAAAACCTAGTACATGTAGGTATACATGTTAAACAACGACAGGCTTTATTAATTGGAAAGTTGCCTGCTTTAATCCACCAGGGATCATACATGTAACATAGCCAACATTTTAGAAATCAAAAAAAATTCTATCCTTATGAAATTTATCCATGTAGTGAAATGAAGTCAACTTTTGAATTTCTGCACAGTTTAGTTTAAAAGAGTCTAGATATCTGCAGCAACGAGCAACAGTATTTTTTCCAGTCTATTAATTTTTTACTTGTAATGAGTTTGATATCAACTTGGTGAATCTTATGATGACAGGACGCCATCTGCTTAAAGGAAGAATTCAATTATTATAGATTTTAATGGGTTGTGGTGCTTAAAATAATTTGTGGTTTTCAAAAATTAGAATTCAAAATTTTACAGACCTCTGGGTACAATGGATGAAACTCTACATCAGTGACAGTATCTGTGTGCCCTGTCAACTTGTGGAGGTAAGTCCCTGAACGGATGTCAAATATATAAGCCTGCAAATAATAAAACAAATGGATACATGGTACAGACCACGGTAATGTAAAGGATCACCTTGTAATGAAAAATGTTTTATTTATTTCATTACTACTTTTACTTATGTTAAATGTCTTTTCAAAAATTAATTTAGAATCATTGATAATTGTAGAATTTGTGTCTCCATACAGTTTTGATCAATACATTTTATTTATGCTATAAATCATTATTTTGCAGTTTAACATGAACACATAAAAAAAAGAGAGAGAGAGGAAATACAGTGTATACTTACTGCTCTGTCCTCTGCTCCAGAAGCAATAAACCTAGAACATGGACTGATGGCCAAACCACAGGAATGAGACCTGTTTATATGACCTTCATATTTTCTTATGCATCTGGTAGTAAAAAAAATAATGCAATATGCAACTGTCAAACCATATTTTACCAATAAAGTAGACTCTGAATAACTCAAACACTTCTAGGAAATTTGTTTGAGTTACACCAGGATTCAAGTTTAACTGTGTTCATAGAGTTTCAGCCCACATCAAAGCGAAAATTCATTCCACAAGTTTTTTTTTTCAAGATAAATCATAATACATGTTATAAGGCGAAGAGTTTTGAGGGGACTACTTAACTTGATACAAGACTCAATGCCGATTCTTCAAAAATGATTGCTACTCATAATAGGTAAATTGAATTACTAGTATCTAAAAATAGACAATGATATTGACCAGCATCCACATTGCACTAAGCTAAAAAGGAAGCTCAGCCAAATCAAGATAAGTTTCTTTTTAATTCCAAGTAAGGTTATTTGAAATGAGTTAGAACACACACAATTTTCTTGCATTCAAAATGGAAACTAGTTACCTGTTTGTCCTGAGGTCCCAGAGTTTTATGCAATCTGAGGCAGCGGCTGTTACAAATAAGTTGTAGCTCTCAGGGGGATGGGTGACATAGCTGGAGCCCTTCAACAAAAACATGGCATGCCATCAATTTAGTTATCTATTTATCTGCTTATTTGGTACTAGCACAATTTTACAAAAGGCAATGACCTCACATTTGTACAATGTATTGGTCTTATTTTCCATAGCAAGAACATAATGCTAAAACTATGACAAATGGAGATTCAAATACCAGGAGTTTATTACTGTTGTTGTCTTCTGCCAATAACATATTCTTGAAGCCACTGTTACAGACATAATTGTGCCACTGTTGATATTTCCTTACCTCATTCTGACACAGGACATGTATGGGCCTGGTATGTGCTTCTTCCACAACTCTAACACTCTGACCAGCATTCATGTCAAAAACCTCTATGGACTTGTTAGATCCAGCACATAAAACAATATCTGTTTATTTATGAGTTAAGGTAAAAACTCCCACTATGATAAGATAATGGATATACATGCATTTATTACTGAGAAATGCACTCAAGCATTTACCCTGTTTGTTAAAATCTACAGTACTTTAAAGAACAATAATATCATAACTGTCTGGTAAAAGGACACATGAGTAAAATCCATTGACAGCAGACATAGCTGTTATCTTCTGTGCCTGGTCAAGCTGAAAACTCTTCACTAGTTTGTACCGACTGTTACTTATATACCTGAACGGGAAAAAAAAACAATAAAGATGCCAAATATGACAATTAAGGATGTAAGTAAGAATTAAAATAACTTTGCTGCCATTTTTCATACATGCAAAAAAAAAAAAAAAATATATATATATATATATATATATATATAGAAAAAGAAAACTATCAAAAAGAATATTTTTACAAAAATAAAAGATAAAAACACTTTTTAGACAACTTTAGAAAAAATAAATTTAGACATTTTCAGGCTTCAAAGAATTTCAACATACAAGAACTATACCAAAATTGATAAATGCTCAAGTACATGTAGTGTGACAGCTGTATATTCTATACAGTAGATGTCTCACCTCTTAATGTCTTGTTTACTTGAATCAAGGAAGTATTTGTACAGGTAAAAGGTACTGCCTGCAGTCAATAAGACAAACTTGTCCATGTAATAAAACTGAGCAAGTGAAATCTCTTTTGGAAATAAAGGATTGTCCTGAAAAGAACAAGAAAATATTTCTGCGATATATTTACTGCCTTTTCAATATTACATTTTCAAAAGTTTATTACAGTAAGACTCTTAGAATTCCACCAATGTCTTCACCAAACTGTGTTGTCCAAACTGTCTTACTTTACTTCATTTCTATCAAATATCAATAACCATACAATCAAGAAAAAAAAACAATAGAAATTGATATATTTAGCATTTCTCTCACTTTTGATGGTTTGAGCCCCCCTTCCTTGTCCACCCCAAAATTGTCTGTAAGTGTGGAAAAGGTCAGAATAGGTTCCGCCTGACCTTTGACCCATACAGACACCGTCTTGTCATCTGATGCTGAAATCAGGTACTTGTTGTCATGATTCCACCGGACAGAGTTGACAACCCCATTATGACCTAGATGCAATCGATTTTAATTTAAACATATTATTTATCATATAATTTGAGTGTGTTATTGATGTATTCTGTAGAGAAAACATGTATTGTGCATGTAGATCTGACAAAGTGACAGTGTACTTGGGGTACCACGTAGAGATCATTAAACTTATGTCATAATTATTAAAACTAAGACAATTTTATACAACTGCCTGAAAATGTCTTATATCTATTAGAATTACTTCATTTTAATCTCTTTGCTTATAGATGTTTGTCATTAGATGTACTCTTTCCAAAGTATAGCAGGAATTTGATTTGGGATACACATTTATGATTATAACAATAACAATCATCAGTGTATGGACTATGAGTAAAATGATCTTTTAAAATTGTATCAGCATTAGCTTTGACACCTGTGAAGGCACCTGGGAAGTATACCTGTGAATGCTGTTCCACTGCCAGATAAAGGCATCTTGAACAGGTGAGCAGACTTGTTAGCCAAGGCACAGGCAACATGTTGACCATCTCCTATAAATGAAGATAATTATATGAGGGCCACAATGCAAAGGTTACATGTTTGATGAGGAGCCAATTGTTACAAACAAAAAATTCAAATTAACTTTTACTTAAAATATTATCTACATTTATTTCTAAAGGTGCAATCAATAGGCTGAATGTTTAAAACTTACTGAAATACAGGTACATACATTTTGTACTACATAACATACAAAAAGTAAAATGATTTTCTCAAATCTCATGCAAATCTTGCTCAAAAAGGTATTACTAAGTAATGGGCAAATATAACAACCAACACAATGCAATCAATTATCTAAAATAGTGTGATTTACAAACTTCTTAGTTCAGACACAGATTCTAATACCTGTTCTGCCAACGCCATATCCTAGCAGTCTGACTTTCAGAAATTCTTGTGAACTAACTCCTAACATCACCATGCCCCCGCCATTGATTGGATACAAGGTGATAATTGGGGATAGTTTCCAGTTATCTCTTAACCTCTGTTTATTTCCTTGGGACATATGTAAACTTACCTGAAAATTTAACACACTGAATGGGCACAGGTTTTTCTTCCACATCCAGTTTAACATGCAGGTGGGTTGGAGGGGCACTGGTGACAGGATATTCCTTCTCAAGCTTCCTAAATTATATAATGTAGATACTTACAGGTTACACAACATGTGGTTTTATGAAAGTGCGTATTTCAAAACTGAAAGCCATCGAGTATATGATTTCAAGATTAAAATTCCACTCAACCATTTCAGTCAAGTTAGTTTTAATATGCATATTAAAATTTCAAAAATATTTAGCTCTCACATGATCTAACCAAACATATGTTGTTAAAATCTTTAGAAAAAAAAAAGGTTGGCCATATTTTTCTTCATATACTTACTTTAAACCTGAGGATTTCCCTGCCTTTGGTGATGAGGTGGCCTTTGAACTGCCAGTTTTAGGTTGAAACATGGTCCTCCTGAAATAAATATACACACATACATGTACCAACTGTAATCTCTAATCAACATTATGCAACATTTAGTACATGCAAAAAAAACGTTTTGCCTATTTAACATGGATTCATTACTTCTTGTGATACTATTTTTTATTATTGTTTCAAGGCTAATTACGTAAAAGAAGTAATAATGACCGATGTAAAGAAACATCTATTCGGACACACTTCTTTGGCCAGAAAATGCAAAAACAAAACAAAACAAACCTAGGTGCCTCTGTGTATCCAGATGATTTGACCTTGTTCTTAAATGTTAATGGCTGATTGTCCAACACAGAACTCTTCTTACTGGACAGCAAAACTCCTGAAATCAACACAGCATTTGATTAGAGTATAAAGCGTGATACTGGAATAATTACTTAATTCTTTCCCATACAAATCTTTCTACTCTTTGATATAATTTGTTTGTATAAAATTACTTACGTAATTTTTTCTGCTTTCTGATTTCATCAAAGGATTCATTACAAGATCATTTCTGTGTTCATCAAAATCCCATTTACATGAATTTCTTACCTTTTTTTACACCTGGACTTCCTTTACTTTCTTTGGATTTTGGCACCAATTCTGCTCTCAGCAATGAGTTTGCAACCAGCGGTGCACTGGAAGTAACACATTCTATTAAAAAACTGTCACTTATCAAAACTCAAAAGTTAAAATTCAAAGTTGAAGGAAATTTCTGACAAAATCTACCTATCTCAGTATATATCCACTGCAACAACAAATAATAGTCTAAAGACCTACACCTACAAATACCAGGGTACACCTGTGAGAGAGATTCAATGCATATAGATACTACTTTCTACAAATATCCCAATATTATTATAATAATCATGGTTATTTAGCCGTAGTAAACTTCATTGTGATCAAGATAAACTGTAACACTGACTTGCCATAATAAAAAAATTAAATTATATTTCTTTTTGGATAAATATTTGAATCTTTATAAAAAATCGAAACAGCCTTATTCCAAAAAAACTCTGTGATGATGCCATACTTACTCAGACAGCACAGTAATATCTCCTTGAGCATTGTCTTCTTCCTTAGTTACGTCTGGACCCTGAGTGGACAGTCCAGCAATACCACCGATCAACTGGTCAAGTGATTGCTGCTGGTCAACCGGCTGTGAATGACTGACTAGTAACACCTGGGCTATATTTTCAAACAGACTGCCCACCACACACCAGGTCTGAAATACAAAATAAATAAATATATAAATAAGAGAAGTTTACTTTCCTTTATAAAATTTAATATAGGAAATTAATTGGGTTTTTGCTCAGATGTATCTAAAATATTTACGTTAATACTCAAGTAAACATATTTGTAAATGAAATGCAACTTACATAATTTCACTTATAAAACTAAAATGTTCAATATAATACTAATGCAAACATATTAATGAAATGCAACTTAATTTCACTTATAAGACTAGAATGCTCAACACCTAATATCAATAGCAATATAATAACTGACTATACATGTAATTCAAATTGTTAAATTTTGCCTTAACTTGGACCAATTAAACACTATATTATGCAAAATATATAATGGATCCAAGGTCTTAAAGTCAGTTATATTTCCCCAGCTCAAGTCTTGCCTTGGTTAAATCTGTTGTGGAGGAAAAGGCACATGATCCTGCTACAGAAATACTGGATTCCATGTTGGGTTCACAGTTAAGAGGGCCTGGAACAGAACATAATAATAATAATGGTTTATTTAACAGGATATTCCATTATAAATATGCCTCATGATAAAATATGTTTTTATCTACTATTAATTTGACTTCTAAAAATCAATTTTGATTTCACGACCTCACTATTAATTCAAACAACATTTTGTATCTCTTAAATTGTTTCTTAAATGTTATCTGTGGAAATCAATTATCACAAAATATATATAAAAGTAAAAAAAAATGGAATATAAATTCAAAATTAACTTTCTCAAAAGCAAAATCTTTTGGCTCACAAACTCTATGAAACATACTTTGCAAATCAAAATATAAATCTTGTTCTAACGTCTTAGCATTGACTTGTACCACTGCCCCGGTAGTTCCTATGGTGAGCAAAGGGGCTGCAGTTAAGAGGTCCCTAAAATAAAAGAATGAAGAAAAACATGTATACTAGTACATGTCAAAATAAAATTTGTCATTGTATCTTATGAACTAAATATCATTTACAAAATATACAGTACATATATGCAATCTAGGGTTGAAGGTGGATTTGTGGGTTTCAATTAAAGTATAATTTCAAATTGACATGCAATCGTTCTCTAAGAAATGGATGTTTTGAAATCATGAAAAGCTTGGATATTTCTGACATGTACAAACTGCAAAACTTGTTAGGATTCAGTTTATACAATAACAGTACTTTTTACATGTACCTGACTAGTGTTTCATCATGTTTCATAAAATGAAGTTTTGCTTCATTTCCTTGTGATTGAGCAACTTGTTGATAGGAATAATGAAGACCAAGAATTGCACTCCCAACTTCTGACTCCTCAGCATCATCATCAGCAGATTGTTCCTGCTGTCCACCAGGTCTTTGTGACTGTTTCCAAGATGGCTGACTGCTTATGGTCAATGGCCCTATGAGAATGAAGATAATTCTATTGAAAATGCCTGAACCAGCTGAATAGTTTCATGTTCAATAATACTCTGTCATATTCATCTTATTGGATAGGCTTTGCTTTCATAGATTTTGTCTTTTGAAGACAATTTATATATAAAATTTATCCAAGAGATACAAATTGTTCCTTTAATACAACTGTTAAAATAACAGGGAACATAACAAACCTTCCTCCTCTGTTACTTTGTGTCTCAATGTCTTCTGTTTCTGAATAATTTTCTCAACATCTAGTTGATGTAGACAGCGGAATCCATTGCCATCACTAAGGTCATAGACCCTCACCTGGGGACATTTTAAATCAATACTTATATACTCATATACTGGAACCATTCCAATTTTAAAGCAATACCTCAAGAATGAAACCAGATATCAAGCTGAAATTTCTTTCCCATAAGTACAAGACATGGTGGAAAAGAGAAAGAGAGAGATATGGTGACAAATGTTTGTGAACTGATGCGTAATTACTCATAAAATATAGACATTTAAGAAAAGTGAAATAACTAGCACAATTAATCTTAGGGTTGATGTATTCAGAATATACTTTGGACAAAGTTGCTGTCTCCGCTATCCAACCCACCACACCAAGAGACCACAGAGTTTTTTTTTCTTTTTTTCTCTTTTTTTTTTGACATAAACAGTAAATTAATTTGGCATGTGGCCCAGAGTATTTCAGTCCATTAGCTCCGTACAGTACATACTCACCTGTCCATCAGCCGTTCCAATGGCAAACTGCTCTGCACTTGGATTCATGGCCAGGCAGAGAAATGGTGAAGATGAAATGATGGTGGACTGGTATATCAATGACCCCTGCTTGATGTTCCAAACCTGAGGTAAATTATGATAAAACATGTTGGTTTTATTATAGAATAATACTCTATATATACATGAAACAGAAAATTCAATGAGAAAATACTATTGGTAAAATGTTTTAATTTTGTACAGGAATATATAGATTTTTAAATAATTTCATATAACAAATTTAGATCTGGAAAAAGGTGTTACTTTTTTCTTTTTTTTTTATTTTTGTTACTAAAAAAAAAAAAAAAAAGAAGTTATAACAAGCTTTGCTAAGTAAGCACTTTCCTCATCTTTAATGTAAGAAGCACATTGATTAATTCATACCAATATTTACATACATGATTTCAACACTCACCTTGAAAGTCCTGTCCTCGGCAGCAGTAACTAGAGTAGAAGAATAGTGTGGACAGAACTCTGCACATGTAACTCTGGCATCATGACCCTCTAATGTGATACACAACTTTTCCTCCTGTGAAAAAAGGGCAAAATTTTTCAATGAGTAAGTCATCAAATTGTCCAAAGAATTTTTTTACGTGTAAATGTTCAAGTGAAAGTCTAATTCTAATTGCATTAGATGGACACATTAAGTCCATCATATAAAAAAAATAAGATTACTGTGTTAAATATTTTATTTATCTATAATAAACATAAATTTGTTAAAATTTTGTATTAGACTCCTACATGTGTAGCTGTTATGTCTTGAGCTCTGTTGATCTGTGTAACAGGTAAATTAAGGAAGCACACAAGATTGTCTTACCAGAGAGGAGAGTATTAACACATCAAGATCTCTGCACACAGCCACCTGGCTTTCATCTGGACTGAAGCAGCAGTAACTGATAAATCCCAGCGTTGTGCCAATGATTTGGCCTCTGATTTGTTGACCTAAAATTATAGGGAAATGGGTGCCTAAAAACAGGTAAAAGCATGAATATTTACAAAATATTCTAAATGTAAACATCTTAATTCAGAAAAGCATGTTGTTCCTTTTTGTTTATTTTTAAAATTTAAGTACAATTTATTTACAGATGGCAAAATATTCAGTTATTATTATTATTATTATTATTATTATTATTATTATTATTATTATTATTATTATTTCTAGGACTGGGGGTAGCTCACCAGTGTCTTTCATAATTTTTGCCTGCTGTAAGTCCCACATTATGATATAATCCTCAGCAGCTGTACACAGTTTGGTAGGGAAATGACTAGGTCCAAAACACATTGCAGATGCTTTCCCAGATAGCATGCATACGTTGGGCCAACGTTGGCCCAACGTTGCCTTGGTTGACCATGCAACGTTGGCCCAACGTTGGGTTTCCATCTAAGTGCTCACTTTGGCCAACGGTTGGCTGAACGTCTTTTTAATGCCAACGCATTGCCAACGTTTTCCCAACCAAACTGCGTTGGCCCTACATTGGGCCAACTAATAACCAACATTGGTCCAACAATTACCCAACCTGTAACCAACAGTGTATTTACGTTGGTCCTACTAATAACCAACATCAGTCCAACGATTACCNGTTGGCCCAACGTATGCTTGCTATCTGGGTTATGCCTATGGCCTTCAAGTTCCAAAGGCTGAAATGAAACTGAAAGCTGTACTTTTGCAAATGCAAAATTGTAGTTGTACTGGTAATTGTTGTTCTAGTGAACACATTTTACACTTGAAACATTGAGTTTCAGTGATAAACTGAGAACCTTGCAAAACACTAGAAATATTTAGTTTATACATGTATATTGATTCATTAAGGACTCAAAAATGTACTCGTATAATTCAAATTCTTACATATTCAGCCATATGTACCAAGATACTATTTGAGACTGAGATTTTTTTAAGTAAACACCACGGGAAGATTGACAAAAAAACCTACCTTGCAGAATAATTTGTCCAGACTCCACACTCCAATGGAAGTCCTTACAAACGGCAGTGCCAAGTAGACACCATTGCAGGCTATTTGTATGTGTGACAATGGGAATGGCACACGCATGGTGTGCTGGCAGGTCACAGACATGGTTCCCTTGTATTTTATTGAATTTTTTTCATATTCATAAACTGGAAAAATTACGATACAAAGTTGATCCTGATCCTGTACGAATTTGAATATGCAAGATTTTTACTTCTAGTGTAAAAACATAACCCTGTGCTTCAGAGATAACTTGAAACAAACCTTTACACTATAGCATATATACCCTTGCCGTTTCAAGTTACAGTACTTGAAACGGAGTGGCAGTGGGAATGGCACACGCAAGTTATCTCTGAAGCTCAGGGTGAAAGACACCGGAAAGGAAATCATGACGTATATAGTACAAATTTAAAAACATAAAATCATGAATGGGAGAGCTGACGCATGGGTTTTTGTGCTACTACTACACTGTAGTAAGGGCCATATACCAGGACATGTACCGATACAACGGTAGAGGGGACCGATATGTTGATCCAATTTGGACCGAATTCTGCTTCACCAGGGATGCAATAAATTGGCACATTTTGCAAGCAGCTGGATCATCGCCAGTGTATGTGCAACCTTTCTTTTAATATTAATATTTTTAATATATTTTCCAAAAACGTGTATAAAATAACAGTAGCGCTAATTCGACTGAGAGGAAATCTGGGATTTAAAAGTGTTGCAGCCATGAATATGCTACTGAAGAAAGACACGCTTACGAGTGTACGGAGCAGTAAAATGGCAAATCTGGTACAACTATTACTACAGAAACATAAGATGTCTACATTTACTTAAAAGTCAGTAGAATCCACGCTGACTAAAACACGTGAGACAGAAATGAATTAAAATTGTTTACCTTAGACACCAGTCGTCCATCTCGCGCGGTTTGAACAAAAAACCAATAGGTGGCAGCACGATTCAACAGAAGCACCACCAATAATCAAAAGTTAGAGCACTAAGTTTTATCAGTTCTGTCATATTAAAAAAAAAAAAAAAAAACAAACAAAGCCAGTCACTTTCATCACAACATTTACTTTTTTTCTTAATTACTATTTACATACAATGATACCTGCTAGAGATTCAAGTGACAAAATGAACAATAAATAATTTTAATTAAGTTAAAACACAATACATTGTAAAAGTGTCTAAAAATTCTAACATATTTCTATATTGTAGATATGTCTCTCCTACTTAGAAAGTATGATAGAAAATAAAAGAGAAATACCATTACAGGAATAAAGCTCCATAGCAAAAACATATCCATTCTTAAATACTATTACAAAACTTTTCAAGTTGTATACAGATTTTTTCCAAAGAAGCGACCATATTCTAAATTAGTTTTCTCAACGCATATGACAAACCCCAATAGAAGAATCAAGCTCACAGATATACATGGAAGTTCTCTTTTTCATAATATCACTATTTTCAAAGATAGCACCACTAGAAATTAAGTTACGAAATAATATTTGTTAAATGCCTACCAGAAGTGCACCTACTGGTGAAAGACACCAACTGGAAGTGCTTGTAAGACAATAGTCAAACAATGCCTAACACTAGATATGAAAAATATTGCACATACCACCATTTATTCATTAACATATAAAAGCAATATAATTTGAGGAAACATGCACTAAACATGCTACATACATGTATAAAATAAGAGTATATATATATATTTAACCTAGCTACAGAATTCGGCAAACAAAGACCATATACTGGTAGTGAAGATGAAAATAAATTCAACTACAACGTAAGAGTATTATTCACTGACATTTTCAGCAAAAAAATCATGTGTCCCTTTAAAATAAAAATACAGATTTACCATTAACACAAAAATAACAGTAAAAATATACCCTATGGCAACAGAGATAATATAATAATTCAAGTAAAACTAGGTCAACTGATAACTCAATAACACAACATGCAACGAAACACATAATCTAGCCAAAAAAGCAGACCATGACCAATACTGTACATCATTTTTCAAACTTGATTTCAAGGCATTTTACTCAAACACATGCAGAAACATAGTATAAACAGAAAAACAAGACAGCTCACATAGAAGTTGCAGATGACACTTCATTATCCAGTCCAGAGTTTTATTTTTTTAAAGCATCAATCACATGGTGAGCAGAGTAGAAAGGAATACAGCACCTAAGTCCTATTTCATAAATTTTCAATACATTAGTCAAGTTTTTGTTTATTTTGACTAGGAAAAATCGGCAAGAGTCCCCTAAAATAAAGCTACTATCTGTTCAAAGTAATAGCAATTTCTTACTTTTTGTGAAAAAGACTAAATATTTCTATACAAGTGGCTACTACAATTTCATCCTGCATCAAAGGAGACATAATATTGGATAAATTGAGAAAAACTTAAGACTTAAGTTCTATTGTGAAACCTGCCCCAGTCAGGTCAGTTAATGGTGACAATTACAGATAAACTAATAAGAAAAGGAGAAATTGGAGTAAAGAGTCTGTTCCCAGCAGTTTAACCTGAATAATTTCTTTTATCCAATATGGCATTAGTCTCCTAAATAGCAGACCATAACTGTCCTTCAAATCAACCCAATTTAATTTTCAGGTTTCAGTCATTGAAGCTAAATACAAACACAGAGAGGTCTAGACAGCATAAAACTGGGTGGCGGAAGAGGACTGGATCTCTGTCTGTCCCAGTTTGAACTGCAGGCGTTTCAGCCATGTAAGCAACATGCTGGATTTCTGAGCAGCTTCGTCCTTGGTTTTCTTTGGTGGCGCCCAGTTCTGACAGGTCTGAAGGCGGACTTGGATATGACCAGGCAGCTAAAGTAAAAATATATCAGGTTGATGAAAATTATCTCAAATTAAAGACTTTTAAAAATATCCATGACAACAATTTTATTTTCTACCACTTCATGGTAGAATCTCTGGCATTTTAATTAAATTTTTCCTACTGGTATCTACTTAATACAATGGTATCCTTACAAGTAAATAAATAATGGAATTTTCATTATCTATGAAATGCAAACAATGTTTCAGGCATTCCCCTATGGCACTATCAGATGATAAAAATTGACCAGTTATTTTTTCTTATTTGGATGTGTAAACCAAACAAGGAGTCTTTTTTATATATGATTACCATGAAAAAGAAGCACAATTTGAAGAGAAACAGTCTTTGTAAACATTGAAACTGATGAAAAATAATGGTCCAAAGCACAATGCTGTTACATAGGTGTAGCAGTATAATTACAAAGATTTCTGATGATAAAAACAAAAAATTTCTATACCTGTCCATGGTAAGAGTGGAAAATTGGAGTCCACAATGCAAATAACTGAAAAACAGAAACAAAAGTTTGATCAGTTTTATAGGTTTAATTTCCTTCTGATACAATACATGCTGAATATTGTAAAGCAAGCCCATCTTATAAATTCAAACAGTAAATTAAAGGTTAAGGAAACTATTGAGTAGTTTTCTATTATATCTTTTCTCATAATTCATTAACTGCCTACCTTTGAGAGCACAGAGGAGTTGCATTCCTGGAGAGCTTCCATCATAGACAAAAAGTGAAGATTCACCATCTCAGCCATCTAGTTGAAAATAAATTTGCAAGTTTAAGCATTATTCAGTATAGTTATGTACTTGTAGGCTATACCAATAACAATCTATCCATACTAGGAATTGTTTGCTAAATAATGTTGTGAATCAAAAAGCAAACTACTTGATATGGGAATCAACTGCATAAGACAAGTGTAGACCTCAGTAGAATCTTCAAACAAAGCAGTAAACTAAGCTGCCATTAAATATTTTCTTCCAATCTTATTATCATACAGGCAGGTGCAGACCCCCCCCCCCCACCCCCCCCCCCACCCACACACACACACACCTATAATCTCACTTTGTTTCTGAAAAAAAGGCAATCAGCCCTATTCCTCCCTAGAATTGAGGAAAATGCTCAAAGGTCCAAAGCAGGCCCCAAGATATACTTTTAAGTATTTCCTCACTTTTTCAAAAGGCCCATCCCTTCTTGACACCAGTAATTTATATCAGTTATTTATAAGACATTCATAAATCTGTACAATCACTGTTGTAAATTTACCATTCTAGAATGTGACAGTAACTGTAGTATGCCTGGAGTGACCCTGCCCCAGAAGTCCATCACTGTCTCTGAGGCCATTTCATGGGTGTCACTGCCAAATGTATGGTGCCAGGCAAGACTCTCACAGTACATGGTCCACAGCTGGAGGGAAATAGCGGAGAATTTTAATTAATAAACAACTGGGACTCTTCTATTTCTCTCACTGCATCCCATCTTAACCCCCACTCCCTATTGTCATGAAGAACAGAAGAGAATCCTGACACAGCAAAATTTTTATATACATTGGTAAATACACGTATATAGTAATTCTAACCAATATGAATGATAGTAAAATGATAAAAGATTAACTAAAGCTTAAGCATTCTGCAGTTCACTTAAGGATGTGTTGTTGTTACCTAAATTACTTAAAACAAAAAGACCCGTTTTCAACTTACCTGACATAAGATGAAGGCATGGAACAAGGAACTCATGTGCAATACTGAGGCCTAGAAAAAAAGGACCTTTTTAATAACAAACATGATCCATCATAGTCACATAAATATTTATATGCTAATAAGAGAAACAAACAGCCAAATATAATGCATTTAGATGTCAATGTATTATTATTATTATTATTGACACCTGCCTTGGACTGTTCAGCAAACCCAGTCATGATGACCAGAATGTGATCAGCAATATACTGACTGGCCTCTAGTGGGATAGGCTGACATATAATGGGCCCTGAACACTGGGTAATAGCAGTGTGGGTCAGAGAGCCCAGCAGGAGCCAGGACAGCAGGCGGATATGGGTGATACAGTCGATGAACTCCTTGGGTCTGCAATGCAATGGCAAATTATATTTCAGACATCTTAATGATGTTTCTTCAAGATGTGAGGCATAACAGAACATTTTTAAGGTTATCAGTGTTTTAAGGTTATCAATTATCAAAGTAAGTTGACAACACTTCCAAAAATGCATGTATCTATTGTCCCTGTAGCCCACTTTTAAGGTCTTGGTGGCCAATGAGTGAACAAATTTGGTGTGGGGCTACTGTTAACTCTGAAAATGTGTAGAGTCTGCATAAATGTGTAGAGATGGCTACTCTAGAATCTTTATTTCAGTTCCATACCCTTGCTGCATAGCTGAAGGTGGGTGATACAGCCATGGCAGATAGCGATTGATTGCACGGTTGTCCCGACCATTGCCTCTTGTGAACTCCAGGGCTATGTACTGAGCTATCCCTGACTTCAGCTGGTTCCCCAGGGTGTCCTCATTCAAATTAAAGGAACTGCCTTTCATGTTGTTCTGAAAAATGCATATTATTTAATTTACCTTCACTACAGCTGCATCCCAAAAAGGTACAATTTTATCAGCAAATCTTAGCATAATTTATTTTTGAGATATTCTTGATAATATACACACATTTTGACATGTAACAATTTAATGAATAAAAACAATGATCTCACAAATCAAACCCAATTTTTAATAAGTGCATGCAGTATGAGTGATGTGTGTGCATGCCATGTGGTTGTTTATGAGTAACAACTCTCAATCCTACCTTGACCTTTGTTAGTGTATGAAGGTCAGCAATAAAGTCCACACACTCATTGAGGTGTTGTTTCATACACTCGCTAGCACTGGTACTGACCACAGGGTGGGTCATTGGGTTAAAGGAGTAGGTGCAGTACTCCTCTGTCACTGTCCCTGGGGTGATGGTACCTCCAGCATCAATACACACAAACTGGAAAGGATAGAGAAATAAGTCTACAGTCACGCTTGCCAAATAATATACATAGTAACACATCTATACATAAGTCAAGCAATTCATCATCTAGCTGGTACACACATTCTAGCAACAGTTCCTTTCCTTTTTTTTCAACGATAGTATATGTCATGTTAAGCAAAAGATCCATGGATCATTGGGAAATGACATGATAGAAAATTTGCTTATCATTCATCCTTATATTTAATATATCCTTGTTATCTTGAAACTTCCACTGACAACATCCCCAAACAAAATATCAATATGTGAGTGGTAAATCACATACAAGCCAAACTATCAACCCCACTTTTTCCAGTAAATTGAACTTTCTCTGAAATATGACACTAAAATTATGTTCACAGTTTTCGCATTAACTCCATCATTAGATAGTTTCACCCTGGTAACATTTAGTGTGACAAGACAATTTTGTGCAGGTTTTACCTTAAATTATGTAAGAGTATTAAAGCATTTCTCTCTCTCTCTCTCTCTCTCTCTCTCTCTCTCTCTCTCTCTCTATATATATATATATATATAGAGAGAGAGAGAGAGAGAGAGAGAGAGAGAGAGAGAGAGAGAGAGAGAGAGAGAGAGAGAGAGAGAGAGTGTCTCACCTGCACCAGAAGTAAAAGATTACTATCTGGGACTGATGCTCTGAACTTCAGTGCCTGCACCAACTCGAACACAATAGTCCTAGCCAAGAACACCTTGTCCCTTTCCTGTAATACAAAAGATCATTTGATATCGTTTTCATATATATGAGACAGAAGAAAAATGGAAAAAAGCAAGGCATTATGTGACTAAGTAAGCACTTGGAAGTTAATATGATATTTTCAAAGTCTAGTACATTGTAACTACCTTGATGAAGACTCTGTTGGCCAGGGAGCATATATCTATCAGGTGTTGTAGTAACAGTTCACAATTCTGGATGGCAAAACTCAGTACTTTGGAGAAAGGCTCCAAGATACCCTGCAAGGAAAACAGCATTATGGAACTAAATACAACATATTTTAACCACACATTCAAAACAGTATTACAGCACTTGGCACAATAGCAAATGTTAATCAAACTTAAAGTTAAAACTTCTTGCTATTTAACTGTTGAAGTCTAATCTTTTCTATGCTGTCATTTCATTATGTGATTACCCATGCAACTTATCATAATCAAGTTACTGCATATAAAACATTAGATATAAAATTCCAATTCACCATGCACACGCCCACCTAAACACTTCTACTCTTTTGGCTAAAATTTAGTTTCAGTACCTTATTTGAAGCCACACCAGGGATTTTCAACACAGAGGCCATAATCTTCATCACAGGAGCAATGTCACAGCCCACTGGCAGCTCTGGCAACAGCTTCCTGAAGTACCCCTCAAACTGGCCTAATATCCCTGGCCAGGTGGGCGAGGTGGTCTCCAGGGGTATGCACTCCATGTAGCTGGACAGGTTATTCAGAACCTGCATTAAGGTGTCTTGTGGGAGGGTCTTCTTGTTGTTCATTCCCTGAAAAATAGATAATATGATTATTTATTTATTTATTCATTGTGGAGGTTAAGCATTAAAATGGTGTGAATATACACTTAAACTATCCCAAACCTATATACTAAATCTACTCAAGAAAGTGAATATAGTTTTAATTTTGTCCTAATGTAGCTGCACTGTAGTGCAGGGAAAAGTGTATAACTATATGGAAATTATTGTTTGGAATTGTCATTGTGCACTGTAATTATTAACATTTACAATTATAATCAGACATAAAAATAAGCCAGCAGATCCAATTACAATGTTAAGCCTCATTAATAAAGATCAGTAGATGTTTCACTTATATGCATACCTCTAACAGGTGTTGAAGAGCAGCATAGCAATTAAGTTCATTGAAGTCCATGAGAGCAGAGGCTAATGTCTTCATAAAGTCTGGTTCTGGAAATAAGGTCATAAAGAGATATAATACCGCATTATAAACACAATATTTGTGAATGATGCATGAAATAATATGTTAAACATATTACTAACTGATATATATTTTTTAAAACATGGTGTCTTACATGTCCCTTTCACAAATTTTGAAACGAAAAATAATGGATGAATTCTTTTATCCACATGATATAGTTTTTCACTGAAACAACTCCAAATTGATAAAGCACATAGAACAAAATTGATGAATTGATAATTATAAGACAGTCACAAGATATTTAACAAAAAAAAATTCAAGTTGCTTGCTAACCTTCAATTTTACTTTGAAACAGTTGTGGAAAGATCCCATTGGGTGCCAGCTGGTGCAGAACACAGCGCAGAAATTGGCGCGCCACACTCACAGAACTGCCTGGAATCACCACTTTCCTACAATTATAAAAAAGGAACTTTGACAAAAAACCAATGCCATCAATTAGTTTATCTTTAAAAATGTGGTGATTGCTTGTCTATTTCATTGCATGCCTTACACCAAATACTCTTGTACCCTACTTTCTCTTTCTCGAAACAAATAAGAAGTACAAACCAGTCATTCTGCCAAGGATAAGGGCTGTTGGCAGCAATTCTGAAAATGAGGAAATATGGAATACTCAGTTCCTCCAAACCAAGAAAACCAAAACCTTTCTGCCATTTACAGAGTCTAGCTAATATTTCCTGATAATTCATACTGATCCAATTTTTTTTGCTGTAATGTAAATCAATTTTGTTAACATCATAATTGTTAATTGGATTTAAATCTTTAAACTGTTATTCAATTGGGAAGGTCCAAAATTTTCCCAGAAATCAACTACTGTCTAGACATCTCCTTTCAGAACTCCCACATTCCACTTCCATCTAGTTCCCTACCTAGTGACAGCCTGTAGCATGTCCAGCAGGTATGGAGCAGACATGGAGGGCTCTCTGTGGACAAAAGCCTCCATACACACAATACACAGGCTAATGGTGTCCTCATCATACTGCTCCAGGACAGCCTTGCACTCTGGACAGCGGTCAATGATTGGCTGCTCACCACTTCCAAACCTGGACTGCTGGCTCTTCTGTTTGAGTTGCTGACTTTTGGATATGATGTCTGCTTTTCTTCTTCTTCTGCACACACACGAAATTATAATAGTTATTATTTATTTTGATTAAAAGCTCATAAATGTATCAAAAAGAAAGCAATCACTCCTCTTCTGCACACACACAAAATTTTTTTTTTTTATTAAAACATCAAATACAAATGTATTATATACAAATCTATCACAAATATCGTTAAGATTTTTGACTTGACTGAAATGATCTAACTATTGAGCTCTGAAATTTTTCATCCTTAATTGAGCTAACAAAAAATGTCAAAGATTACAAAACAGCCTCATTCTTCTACCTCAACTTCTCTGGTTCATGTTTCTCTGCCAGTTCTGGCATAATCTTCTGCAGTTCTATGGTGGCCAGTCCAGTCTTTCTCCCTCTTCTTTGGCGGTAATGGGGGGTCTGGCTTGGGGTTACTACAGCATCTGTTGATATGTCAGGAACTAGAACAGAATATCAGGGTTTGACACTGTGATATAATTCAAAAATACACATCAGCAGTTACAGAGAAATATCTCAAAATCATTCTAATAACACACATTTACTATGTACTAGTATGTTACATTCAATGTAATTTAAACATACAAATAAAAATAATGCTATTCTGATTTTATAGTCAATCATGTTGAGAGAAAAGGTAAAATCAATGATTCACCGAGAGAAAAAAATTTAACAGAGACAATAATGTTGAAAATGTTTATCAGTATAATTGTATATCGAATTCTTTTTTCTCCGTGCTTTCTTACCTTTTACTTCTACAGATTCAGTCTTGGTCACTTCTGGTTCAACAGTCACCTTTGCCTGTTCTTCAACTTTTTTACCCTCTTCTACTTCCTCCTTTAACTGTGGTGCCACATTATCACTACCACCTGCAGCATCGTCTTGTTCCTTCTCTTCATCCTTATCAGCTTGTTCTTTAGGCGTCTCCTCTTGACCCACCTCTATGTTTGGTACAGTGGCTTGAAAGGAGTCTTCCACAGTGACTTCAAATTTTGGAAGAGGCAGTATCACACTTTCCTCTATGGTGACAGCAGTAACTTCAAACACTGGGTGGGCAGGTTCCACAGTCTCCTCTGCCTTGGCTTTGAATGCTGGCAGAGTGGGTTTGAGGGGGACTGCCTGGGCAGACTCAAATGCTGGAACAACTGGCTTTGTGATCTCTTCATGTGTAATTTCTAATGTTGGTATAACTGGCTTGTCTGGTTTGATGAGGCTACTGTAAAAAGAAAATGACACCTCAGTGGCATGTCTTTTATTCAAAGTTCCAACATCTGAATGGGAGAAGACCTGTATTTATAAAGATGAAGCTACCTCTAATTATGATAATTTAAATTACAAATATAATAATATCAACTGATTAACTTTTCCATTATGTGTTTTAATAAATATCCTCTTCGATCTTGTTGTTCCAAAACAATTCCTCCAACAAAAAAAGGCTTTCTTGTAAGGAAATTTGTCAAATTATGTCCCAAATCTTTTTCACATCTACAGTTTATATGTGATGAAATACTCAGTTTACCTGGGTCTTCCATCTGGTCCTGCACCCTTGATGTTGTCCTTCTTATCAATCTCCACAGAGACAGCAGGTTTGTCCTCACTCTTTGACCTAGTAGCCAGTCCCAGGAGTTCTACGGGTATAGGGGGCTTGTGGCGGACAGGCTTGGCTAGGGGTTTTCCTTCAGGTTTATCAACAACAGCCTCTTCTTTAACACCAGCTCCTGCTGGGGGGACATCTGGCTCTGCTGGGTGAATTTCGGGGGATTTCTCTCCTAAAAGGTTAAGAGCAGGAATGTGATTATGATCACTTCAACAAAGGGTTAAATGTACTTGTAAAACCTGTAGGCTGCAATATACAAAGAATACACATTCTTGGCAACAGATACCATAATGCCAAATTTACAATTGACTGTAGTCAGGTGGGGGCAGAAGGGCAGAAAAACAAGTCCAGTCTATCTGTGGGTATCTTGGATCTCAAAAAATCCAGTACCTTCAAACTCCTTGATCTGCTGAGCCATCTTTCTCTCCACATGAGATTCTGTCCCATAATGCAATGTTTTCTCCTCGACATCACTTCCTTCTGCTCCATCTTCATCCTGTTGAGCTGCCAGTCTTCTCTTCATCTCATCTTCCTTCACTTTCTGCATGATGTGCATCTCAAAACTCTGCTCTAGGGTCATCTATTTTAATCAAAAAGAAAAAAAAGCACTCCAATGTAAGCACCACTCACCTTTTTTTTTATATATAAATAATTCTACCAGTCTGAAATATGCAAATATCTAACTGAGCTTTGTTTAAAAATACAATGAAGACAGCCTCGATCTTTCCACATGTACATTGAAAGATGCATTACAAGAGGTGCGCGAGTGCTTAAAATTCTTCTATTTTTACATTACTATTGTATGAACATTATAAAAAACATATTTTTTCTTTTAATTTGCAACAATCAATATTAAAAAACTTCAAACTACAAAACTGCAAACATATGTATTATTAATATCAAGGTCATGACCCACAAGCAGTTTAGTTCTAATTTGGAAAAAAAAACAGAAACAGCATGCCAGTGTACAGAATGTATATATCATAGTTCAAACAGTTTACTCTTTTCAAATGAAAAACAAACATAAAAACCTTTCAATATACAAAATGCAAATCAAACTAAAACAAATCCTCAGAAACCCTCTACATTTCTGCAAACCCTTACATCTTCAAAGATATGGAGATTTGATAGCTACTTGTACACATAAAACTATATGTAACTGGACTAATAATACTTTTTAACTTATAATGCCGTCTCAAAAATTGATAGTTATTATAAGATGATACAAGTAACTGTTAGTCTATCATAATTCACTAGTTTGAATAGGTTACTTTATTAGTTTTTTTTTTTCTAAATTCCATAATGCAGACAAGACATTTGTTTATGTACATATACCATTCAAAATAAACAGGATTCATCTGAGTTAAAAAGAAGCACAGTTTCATTTTTGCATTTCTTAAAGATTATAATATGCACATGATGGTATTAAAAGTATTGTCAGCAACTAACGAAAATAGAAATTGAAAAACAATGGTCATAATAATAATAATAAGATTTGCAATACTGATATTACTTAAAACAAAAATACTCCTTTTTAATCTTCTACTGATTTAAAGTTAAATGACCTCTTACAAAATAACACAAAATTATTACAGTTTTAATTATGAAAAAGATCTCATTTCATAATTTCCATTAATCCTGTAATTAGTGAAAAAAAATCAACTAAAAGAGAAGGTTAAATCATGCCAACTAACTCCACAAACCTCATCCTCGTTATCATCATCATCGTTATCATCACCAGCAGCATAACCAGCATCAGTAGCATCTGCAACATGCAGTTCAAAACGGCGCCCCCCTACCCCTTTGTTTCCTGACTTTGGAGACTTAAGCAAAGAACTTGCTTTTGGAGCTGGAAACTTCTCAGTGTCTTTCTTTTCTTGTGTCTCATCTGTTGTAAAGCTGTAGTCTGGTAGTTTCTTCCCAGTCTGTAAAATATTTACCTCCAAAATAAGACAGTTTAAAGTAAGAAAGCAAGGAAGAAAATCACTCAAAAAAGAACAGGAATGCCTGTTGACCATTAATACAAACCATATTCTAACTTTCCCATTTAATGAAAATATGTTCAATCTTAAAATCTTTAACTAACAGGAACAAAGAACATTTAAGACACAATCATCAATATCCTACTTTTTGCAAATTTGAATGATCAAACAAATACACACGTAGTAGCATGTTCTTCAGCAAAAAGACTTAGATACACACTATATCAATAACAAACTACTAATTCAATGAGAAGTCACATATAACTTCTCTCTTAATCATGTGACATACCACAGGTCCGTCACTGTCACTCTTAGGTGGTGTGTCAGGTGACTCCACTTCAGATGGGCTCTCCTCCAGGGGGGTGTTAATAGCTCCCCTCCTCCTGTGACCAAATGATATGGAGGCCATCCCCAGGGATGACTCCAGGGAGACTGTGGCCTCGGGGGAGGTTGGGCTCTGAGGAGGGGTATCAGTCTCCTCAATGTTCTCTAGTTCTACTGTAGAGACATTGCTGGCATCTGAAATTGCAATTCTTGAAATTAGTGAACTAAATTGAACAAGAATGTCAAATGATAATTCTCATACAAAAACTGATGAAATTAAAAACTTGATTTTTTTTTATTAATTTCCCAGCAAAAATTGAAGAAAACAAATTCAGTTTTCTTTCATATGAACACCACAAATAAAAAAACACATTACCACAAAAAAAATTTTAAGAAATAAAACCCACTTCTAGTCAAGAGAGGGCTCATCATGGCTCCTCCTTCTTCCCCAGTCTTACACCTGTGCTGCTGAGCATACACCGTGTTGATTGCAAGCTGCACCAGGAACTCTATGATCTCTGCATTAGGACTGCTCTTGTTGTAAGAATACTGTAGAACAAAAAAAAAATAAATGTCAAGTAATACTGTGTATACATCAACAGTCTGCTGCATTGGGATTAATGCAATACAGTCAGTATACTATTTAAATTTATAAATATTTTTCATCTTGATGATAATAACTATCAGAAGATCCATTAAACAATCACCAACTGCATTAATCACTCAGTTATGATGATAGTTTCTTCATAACCATCAGCAGAGGACATCCATACATGACTCAAGGTGCACATATATCCTATCCTAATATAATCACATATCTGTCATAGGTCTGGTAGTCACTGGAACAGTTCTATTAAATCTACCTACCTTATACAATATAACCAGTAAAGCAGTGAGCCAAGCCTGTCTGGTGTGGGGTTCTAGGTACCACAGGGTGTAGTTTGGGGGCTGGTAGTCACTGGCATATCTCTGGGGAGAGGGAACATACTGCAGTAGTATCACAGCTACTGGAAGAATGGTGTTACCCAGCTCAAAATTCCTGTCCAGGACCTGGTAAAAACAGAAAAATTATATTACAAGGATTATAAATTTATAATTTTTTTTCTAGTCACTTCAAACAGTTTCATTGTATACATTAGTACCAGTTTATTTCTGAGAGCTGTTTAGTCACATGAACACTATTAAATAATAATAATAATATTAATAATAATAATAATAATAAATCTCAAATACCCAAAATACAAACGCATTGTCAGATATTATCTTTTTATCTATTATCTTAAGTTTGTTTTCAAAAGGAAACATTCTGTGCCTCAAATTTTCAAGGCAGTCAATCAGTTTTTCTTTGTATCATTAAAAATATTGTACAAAATCTAGGATCCACTTACATGAGGCAGACCTGCTAGGAAAGCATTTACTGTTGCTGAACATCTAAAATGTTTGGAAAAAACAGGGATAACAAGTTGAAATCAAATTCATGAAAGATGGATGCAACATTGCAAATTTTGTAGATTTAGAACTGAAACAAAATTATCAAATTGAATATTTCTTAAAATTCTTGTGTTCAAGAGTCAAGAATGTCATTTACAACACTTAATTCTAGTCAAATACATGTATAGTTACAGAGTTGGCTCTGATAAGGTGACTGAAAATTAATATTGAAATTCTCCTTAATCATTTACCTTAGTTTATATGGTGGCACACTGAAAGCCTTCTCACTCTGGTTGTAGCCAAGAAGTACATTGAGATGTCGGAGAACAATGTCCTACAACCACAAGTGTATACAATTTCTCCTTTACCTCACCAACAAAAGGATCTACAGCACTAACATCAAAATTATTTTCGATTTGCAAAAACTGCCATAAAAACACTAAGAAAAGTTCAAAATCCTGTACTTATCTGAAAATACAAATATCATTATAAATATGCAATATCAAATTGATCAGAGTTACCTGGTATTTGCTCTCTTCTTTGTCACTGCTTACTATATCTTGATCACTATTCATCATGAACTGAAATGTTTTCATAATGAAATGTACATATCAGACAGGTCTTACACAAGTGTTAGATCAGGAAACATACATATCAGACAGGTCTTACACAAGAAGAAACGTGCAAAACCAATAAAAACTAAAGGTAAATAATTTTTTTAAAGGATTTTGACAACAAGTTGGAAAGAAATAATAAATAGCCTTAACATTTAAAGTAAGGAAAGCTGCAAAAGTGCAGTTACTGTAAAATACAGTAATTCAAAACTCTGGAAACAATGATTTTTTCTTCAACATGTTGATAAATTGTAATACTATATAAACTATATCACCCGAGTAACATACATTTTACAAGCAATAACTTTTGACTGATAAACATAGCTTAAACTTCAAAGTATTTAAAACAAGTAGATTATTTAGGCATGTCATTAATGATAATCAATGGTAAAGAATGCCTGGAGTTTTCCATCCTGTAAACAATGAGCTTTCAATGAGCAATTATTTCCAATTTACCTTCATCAGGAGAGCAGTAACCTTATGAACCGTCTCCCTGTCCACCCCCTCCAGGTCCATTGCCTTCTGTAGCAGGGCAGAGAAATTACTCTGCTGGTCAGTGAACTCTCTAAGGTACCCACCGACCCCTAGATAAAGGGAAAATTGTTCCAATAACACCATTTCACATTAGTGTTAAATAGAAAATTTAATATTCATCACAAAGAAACAACATTGCCTAGAATTACTATTTTAAATGTTAATAATGATGCAATGTTATTTTTATTAATGTTTCTCTGGTCAAAATTCTTTTGTTAAATTTCATGTTAAGCATAGCCAAACTATACATGGCCCGAGATCTGATGCACACCAACTTAACTATTTTCAAATCTCCACATATGCTCAGAATAAGTAAACATGTGGACATTTTAAAACTAAAAATGCTGGTTCAGATCACATCAGATCAGAATTTCAGGCCAACTGTTTTTACAAATAATTCTAACCAAATGCTCAATGGGCTTACACAGCATCTTACACTGAAAAGTAAAATGCAGTGCTGTGCAGTGGATTTTAATTAGTTAATTTGGTTAATTAGTTAGCCCAGATTAATATTCCATCATGCCAGTCAATTTAGTAAACGTAATTGCGTTAACCGCCATAAATTATATTTCTTGTTATTCAGAGAAAAAATTAGTAGGTAATCTAAATGCTCGAAAAAAATATGATATTAATTGATCAGACTAGATAAAATTAGACTAGATTAGATGTATCTCTCTATACTTAATTAATAATTTCAAAGTGACTACATTATTTATTGACTAATATCATCTAGTAGCATTAAAAGCAACTGTATTGGTATCAAGAGAACAGCATGAGTTACTATAGGTAAGCAAACAATACCTGAGAGCATATAGCTTCCAAATATACTGAGCCCAGAGCGTGTTCCTCTACGGCCAAACTGGGGAGCCGACTGTTGCCTAATGCAGGGTTTCTCTACGTTAATGGAGAGGTGGGAAGACTGCTGTTAGTAATCCAGTGAATATTTCTAATCAGTGGTGATCTCAGTGTATACATAATTTTGTGGCAAACTTGAGTGAAAATTGTGTGATTAAAAGCAGAACATTCCTGGTTGTGATGGGTAAGTTTGCTCTTGAAGAGATAGAAGAAATATAAGCAAACAGAGTGCAAAGGTTCACAGGTTTTAAATAATCTTGCTACAAGAGAATCAAAATCAGATAGCCATAAAGGTTTATTATATGTATCATCAGCGCAGTGATGGCCATGCTGTCATAAAGTTACGATACTGCCTGGCTTTCCCTATAGTGATATAAGCATAATTAAAAGCCTGTTTCACAGAAGACTTTTTTTTTCTGCCAAGTAGAAACAGCTATACAAAGTTAACTTTTTAATTTGAGTCTTTCACAACTGAAAATTTAAGCAGGCTCATACGGACCCCACCTTTGAATTTCATTTCTCCTGTAAAACAGGTCACAATACCATAAACAGAGACAGATCTAACTATATGGGGTGGAAGTCTGTCCATTGGAGATCAAATCACACAGGCATCTTGCATTATATTGTCTATCAGATGATCCAGAGGATTGTTTACACCTGCCCCTGTTATGGTGATCATTTATATGCCTGCCATAGCAAGTTGTTATTATAGAAATGCCTTCCTTGCTGGCATGCAACTTAAAATTACGACTAGCATACAATTATAGTGGTAATATATAGCATGGTATTATGTCTTCCATGACAATAACAACAAGATAAAATCCCCAATGCTTGGCACTTGGTTTTATAATTGGTATACTGTTATAAGTGTTATGACTTTATGGTACATGTTATATGACTGACATTGTTATAACTATGTTATATTCAAAATAACAATTTAAAAGCTTGGGAAGGAAGACTAGCATCTGGCTTCAAGTTAGCTTCTGTAAATTGGAACACACTAGGCTGGAATAAAAGCTTCTTAGTACTAAGTTCTTAAAAAATACAATAACAAACCAACAGCTTTAAATTATAGTTGGTATGAAACAAAGTAACATTCTGTTAATGCAAAGTCTGACTTCTCAACAACTTATGAAAGATGGGGGGGGGGGGGGGTTATGGGGGTTATGAAGCTCAAATCAATTTTTTTTTTTGCTTAACAATTCAAACAATACATACTTGAACATTAAACATTAGAAAATAAAGCCAAACTGCAAGAACCTTCTGATTTTAGAACAAAATGTTATGTAAAAAATGGTGAAATTATGTGAGTCCCAAATAATCAGTGTTTATAATAAGTGTGTGCTTGAACTGTACTGATGGCTTGCTAAACCTTGTGACAATATGTGAAATTATAAATAATATATACAATGGTTCTCAAAAATAAACTTAAGAGCTGAAAATAATTTTGCAAGTGAATAAATGGTGGAATGAAATGGTGACAGTTACTTAACAAAATCTTAAATTGTACAATTTGGACAGATCCTGTAATATCAGCAGAGACAGAGTAAGTTATGACATTGAAGGGACTGTCATATATACATCTATTTGAAATTTTTTCAAAAGAAAAGGTTATCTGAATTGAAAACTTAAAAATAAGAGAAAGTTCCAACTTATCACATACATTCCAAAACCTATTAAATGATATCACAACTTGCTGTGTCTTTAACTGCAATTCATTCTTAAAAGATGTGAAGACAGGATAGAGAAAACAAAGCCGCAGAGGTAGCACCCAAACCATCACTGCAATAAGAAGCCAAGGAGTTAGTCGATCACCACCGCAAGAGCAAGCAAGCACAAATATTCTTTTATATATTATGAGTGTAACCAAGCTTCCACGGCAAAGTAGCATTTTACCAGCCGATTGGTCTGGGTGGGACTCTGTTTGAGAGGGAGGGGTGGATTCTGCGGGTTGATGGTGAGACAGCCACCACCGCTGCATGTACATCAACACTTTCCACTTCGGGAGGACTGAAAACAACAAAAACCCAAAACCTCCACTCAGAAATACACAACGTACATGTACATGTATGAACCATAACATCTATACACAACATGTCACTTTGACTCATATATTTCAATGGTATTAGTTGTGCTATATGCATGTTATGATCGAGGATGAATCTGGGATTTAATACTACATACATATATTTATATTTGTTTTATATAGAGTGTGTGACTGCGGAGGGGTTTAATTCATTAGAGTTAAATTCAATTGAGGGTGAATTAAGCAGGTTTGTTCACAACAAGCAAGTTTTCCTTGTGTACATGTTATGTAAGCAGCATGTTTTCCTTTTGTACATTTTATAAAGTATGAAAATTATAAAAATGATTTTAAAATTCCTGTAAAAGAACCTCATTTCTCAGTCATAAATTTTTATAAAGACGCCGATTACATGTGACAAATGACACCAAAGTCCAATGCTGACAGTAGACACATAATAAGTAAAATTACTAGTAACTGCAAGACAACCTATACTACAAATTAAATTATATTCTGAATCAGTTAAAGGTATCCTGATAATGTCCCCCGAGTCATACAGGTATTTTTCCCTTAAAAACGTTTAAACCCCTCAAATAAAAGTTTACCTGGAGTGTGTATGATGTCAATATTTCTTTGTGAACCTTAGAACCTCTCAGCGGCCAAGTCTGGGAATCTCACGATTTCACACAAGAAATAAATTTTAACAAGGCCCCCCCCCCCAAAAAAAAGAAATCTGTGGCCATTTTCTTCATTCTCTTATAATGAAATGAAATGAAAATAGATCATTCTAAACTGTGCAGTGTATGTCTTGTGAAATGTCAGAAAGACGAATAGATGTCTAAATGATTCCCGAGACATTTAAAAACTGCTTAAAAGTGGTACCAAAACATCCCCTCCAATTGCAGGTAGGGGTTGAATTATGATCAGGGAGTAGGAGAACATTGCTTTTTTCTTTAGGAAAATTTAACAAAGAGAAAATCCCAGAGAGGATACCTTTAACTTTTCCTAGCTACCTACATTATAAATTTTTACAGATAAGTTGCTTAACTGCTTGCCATTCAACAAGTAATAAAGTTCCAATAGTCCATCAAGTACAAAAAGAACAAACTGCTTGGAACATGAAAAAGTGACTTTGCAAAAAAGGTTTAACAATTGCATCAAACACCTCTCATTAGTGAAAAAAACCTTCACATATTTGTCACAGTTTACTTTTTAGTTTCATTAATTAAATAGTGCCATGTAATGGGTCTTGGAAAAGTTAAAGCTTCTTGTTGTAAATATCTTACAATTTCAGTGGTAGCCAACCGTTATCTTGACATTCAATGCAAAAATTGGAATAAGTACTGACATATTCTATCTCGCATATGATGTAACTGAACTAGCAACAAACTTTAAAATGGAAAAACAACTGAAATACTTGTCAAAGGTATTTTTTATCATTTCAAATATGTCCACATTCCAAGCAGATTGCTACATGTATGCAGAGGCACCCATAAAGATCCACACCCTCACATCATCCAGAGCAAATGAACACAGTGAAAGCAAAGTACCTTTAGGAGAGGCTGACATAGAAACAGAGGTTCCCCGATTAGAAGGAGACACACCTGGCCGGGGGGTTCCGTACAAAGGCATGGAGGATGCCTTCCTGAATGGCGGCTTGTTGCCATAGAGACTGGCACTGACAGATCTCACACTGTCGGTCCTGGCCAGCGCAAACCTGGCTCTGTTCAACTTCTGTAAGAAATGCTCACTTTCTCTGTCACTGCTCACCAGATCTACAATAAAGAAAACAATTCTTTTTACTAATAAATATGATAGCTATTTAATCTCAAGATGATTTCTTTTAAGACAATATGTCAAGACATTCCAAAAATACCCGAAAATAAGATGAATTTTCTAAATTTTCAGCCCTAAAAGAAATATTATTTTCTTCAGTTTATCTGTGCCCAGATATGCATGATAATATAAAATAATGTGACTCCAGACAGGGCACCTGTTGGGTGTGATATGTCCCCACTGCTCTCCAGATCAATCTGGGCCTCCAGAGAGAGAGCATCAAAGCGATGAAGGAAGAACTCCCAGCTCAGGATTCCCAGGTCAGGCAGCACATTGGACAAGATCTGCATTCTCTGCAGTATCATGGTGCGATCATTGATCACTGAGTCAAACTGGAACTCCAGGCACATACACAAACACTGAAATTAAAGAAAAACATTTAATAATCCTATTATGACTTTTTGCATCATTTAGCTTCAGCAATATAATGACAGAGTACCAGTTTGTTCCATTTTTATAAGAGGATACACATGTATACAAGGTATTAATAAATATAAAATTATATGAAAAGGATACACATATATTTAATCTTTATGCACTGCGTCATTAAAAATATTTGATTTATTAGGACTATATAATGTTTTTAGTACTCTTGAGCTGGTTTCTCTCTCTGTCTGGTTTGCATGTGTGCATGTGCACATGCACACACATGCATAATTTGTGGCCCTTCACCTTAATGGAGCTCTTCTTCTGTGTCTCCAGGTAAAACTTAGTTTTCTGTGCCACCATGCAGTTGATGTCATTCAGGGACTCAATCAGGTGACAGAAGGCATGGGCCAGGGTGGTCAACAGGACCTGGTTTTCCTTCACAGTCTCACACCGGACATAGCGTAGCAACACCGACACCTTTTCCACTGAATACAAAATAAGAGTAAAATTGGTCATTTGTGCAGGTTTGCTGATATCTACGAAATAACTCATCTCATACAACTGACATTACTGGGCAAGTAGTCTCTATACTCGATAAATCATATTTCTTGTCTCAAAAAATTTGGTAGGAAGATTCTGAATCAATAAATTGAAGAAATCCTACTGTATAATTTTATTTTCAGCCTCATATCCCGTGCATGGCAGCATGAAAATTTGAAAATAGAGAAGCTCACCTCCAGGTCTGAAACTGAAGCCAAAAACAATTGTAGCTATAATTTCAGTACCTGCAGAGAATCTTGCTCGCCAGTCTTCATTCTGGAAATCCTGTTCCACAATACGCCACATGATGTCAGAGCCAGTGGGGAGGGTCAGGCAGTGCAGGAGTATGGGAACACAGATAGAGGCCAACTGGGAGTGCTCTGCCTGTAAGATTTTCCATAGCCTGAAAATTTAAAGAAAGTCTACATAAAATATAGTGTGTGTGTGTGTGTGTGTGTGTGTGTGTGTGAGAGAGAGAGAGAGAGAGAGAGAGAGAGTGAGTGAGTATGCATGTGAATATGTTTTGTGAAAAATCTTTATAATTATTATGTAAACCAATATAAAAACAAATCCAATTGAAAATTCTAGTCTAATCATAGAGTGAAAATATATTTAATTTTAAGAACATGCTGACAGAGAAAAGTCTTTTTGGACTAACAAGCAAGCACCAAATCAAAATTTTTCAACCTTTAGGAAAATCTTCCAGATTACCAACTAAAATATCATTACAAAATTCAAGTCATACTCACTCAATTATCAGAAACTTCTTCAGACAGTACTTCACATACTCCTCATTGTCTTTAAGGGCCAGGTTCAGGCACTCAGCATGGAGACACAGGTATCTTAACGCTTTCAGGACATAGAACAATACATCAGCATCTGTCTGTGTGTACAGCTCCTGGATTCATAAACAAGACAATAAATTTGCATTCAAACCCCTCCTTGAACGGAGTCTGAACTACATGACACATTTACTTTTGTGAAATTTAAGAGTAATTAATCTCAAAAATATGTATAATACAAAAATTTATACACTCATGCAATTACAAACAATGACAATATCCTCTTTCAAAATTGACAATCCGTGCTTTTTACAGGCCAGATGCAAAGCAAACAAATTTGGAAGCAACAAGGTAAAGCGAAGTTCAATTTCAAGTTGGTCTCCTTACCTTCAGTAAAGCATGTAACAACTGGAGATGTGGAGGAAGCTCTTCTTCCTTCAGCTCATACTCGGGTTCTGGTGGCTCTGACATGGACTTTGTCAACTTGCGCTCCATCAACTTGGCGAGGTTATCTAGTCACAGATTAAAGAAACTTATGAAATGATCAATAGACAGATCAATAGACAGAGAAATAGGGTCGATAAAAAACTTAAGTGAAGCTGCATATTCCTTACTTTCACAGCTAAGCCACCTGGAAAACAGCTTTGTAGCCTTCTCATAGACTTCCAATAAAATAGTACAAGTACTCTAAACTAG